TTCGACGACTTTCACTTCAAAATCGTAGGTGGTACTGATAATTAGCTTATAAACATGTTATAAATAATAGTAAATTCTAGGATTGTAAACTACTAAAACATGATTATCACGAACGCGGACCTTAAAGAAATAACTTTTAACATGGCTAATAATTAAGGGATGACACTCGTAGTAGAGAATGAAAATAAATAATTGCGATTTTCAACGACTATCACTGTAAAATCTTGGTATCCATCTAGGTCTTGCACGAATTAATTGTGATATTGCTTATGTTAATCATGAAAATCCAAGATTAACGTGTGCGGTTTTAAGGTAATGAAGATTTTGTTTAAAGATATTGTTCGTAAGTACACGTAAGTTTAAAAAATTTTTTGTTAGTACACCAACATTTTATTTAAATAAATAATGTTTGTTAAATATCTAAATTGAGTAAAAAATAATCTTTTGATGATCCAAAATTAAGAAACCCACCTGATAACGTAATTCCTCCAATTCAAGCACCGCTGGGGAGGGGGCGGAGCATCTTCACATATTGTCCAATAGCAAACTCGTGCGCGTAAGGAGGGGGTAGTTCTCTAGTCTGGAGATTTTAGACTCTGAATTTTTATCAGAGCAGTGTTTCCATTCGCGGGATTATTATCCCGAAAACGGGATTTTTAGACCTTGAGCGGGATTAAAACGGGATGCGGGATAAAACGGGATTTTCTGGGAAGCCAGGATAAATTGGTATACTAAAAAGAAAACTGAATTAACACTGACTGTGCTACATTTCTTAGTAATCATTGAAAGGGCCGATTTGCAAACTATGGAAACATAGGAAAGTCATAGAAACCCACCAACGAAAGGAAATAGAAAAAATGTTTTTTTTTTGTATAATCGTTATTATGGACAACCTAATGCGGCTATGAGTTAGGCTATTTGTAGAAACACTAAAAAACAAGACCAGATTTTGAAATATTATAAGATATTTACAAGAAATGTTGATTATATCGATCTCTTATGTACATCTTGAGTATTTCCATAATCTTTGAGTTGAACCTTTTAAAGTCATCAGAAATTATGAGTGTTATTCATTTTAAAATAACGCCGGTAATACTTAGCAATTGCTCGAATTCAAGCAACAGTTACACTAGTTAATAAAACTCAACATTTGCTGTTTAGCGAATTTCCCTTTTGGGTGAAGTAGCAATTACCGTAGGTGGCACGGTAGGACTAGGCTCGAGACCGATTTGCTTTGTCATTTTGATGTTCCCAGGGTCCAAAAACACAATTCGTTCAAATTGTTATATATGTATATATTTATATGAATATATAAATACTTCCGTGAACGCGATAAGTTGAGTTATTTTTGTCCGATTCTGATGATACTTGGTTTAAAGGGGTAAGGCTTAAACTTTAACTTGAATGAGTTCGCGAACCAGCATAATCGGACCATGGAAACGGGGTTTTACGGGGGTTTTATGGGGTAAAATGAATTCCTTTAGAATGCATTTCAAACCGTAAACCTATACCAAGCCATGGCTCAGTCCCCCGGTACTAGTTGCAACAAACAGTTTTATTTATATTCTTGAAATGAATTATTGTCACCAACCGTGAAAGATAGCAAGAAAACACACATTGGATTTCAGAACGTTCAAAGTCCGCATTCCCCTCCCTACATTAGTCATTAGCAAACATTAGTCATTACCTGCCATCTAATTACCAGGAATGCTTGGCAGCGTTTTTCACCTATCACGCCATGCTTGTACTGTTAGCTATGTATCACGAACGTTAGTAATTGAAATGAGTGTCATTTTTGTATTTGCATTTTGGTTTGCTATGCTGGTTACGTATGCCATGATTATGAAGCTATTTACAAGAGGTATTTTACGGAATGTCCCTATATCGAAGTCGCTATGGCCTATTCCAAACATCCATATCCTATAGTTCAACAACAGTCTGTTTAAAAGTTCAATCTTTGTAGAATATGAATTTGCTTGTAAGCTAACGTGACGTCACGTAGTGGTGAGGGTAGAGACTCACCGCAGGTAGAAACTGGGAGCGATTGTCACAATATTTGAGTTGGGATCAATGGTATGTGGTGGAGATTAACAGGTATTCTAAGAAGTGACCCTTACTAATCCTTTTGGTGGGTCAGGATTAGGAATATGTATTTTTCCTCCAATGATATTTGCTACCGCTGTATACCTGCCTCAGTCTGTCCTCCTCTTACCAAATAAATGAACGTATCAATGAGTATAGCATTACTCATCTTAATTAATTAATACGCATTAATACATTAATACGCAAGCAGTTTTCTTTTCACAGTCATAACTCAATAACGGCTTGATGGATTTTAAAGTTTGAGGTGTCAAATTAAATGTACATAAGAGATACCTACTATACATAAGAGATAACCAAAACAGTATGAGAGTGAATGTAAATTCAAACGAGTGTTAGCCCGTCCTACGTACGGGAATTCAGTGGTCAGTTAAAACCGTGTACAATTCAGATCAGCTAGTTTACACATAAAGACAAAGTTTCTTGCAGTTTTAATGTGAAGAATCATCTTGTAAACAAATGTTGTGTGACCAAATATGTTTTTATTCCATCATAGGCCTATACGATTATAGATATTGTATTATAGATATTGTAGATTACTTTCATATTTTTTGCATCATAATATTTTTGTATTTCTATAATCAGTCATATAAATTATTTTAGAGTGACTCTTTGATTAAGGTCTTGCTGTTTATATTTTTTTTGTTTATTTTTTAAATACAAGTTTCAGTTTTGCTCGATTTCGAGCAACGGGTTATCTAGTAGTATAAATAAGTCAACCCAATGCATGCCATTATTATCCAATAATGATGGATTTGTGTAACACACGCTTAATGTTTACAGCTGTTACATTAAGCAAATGTTATTGTACCAAAAGCTAGTGTAAAATGTTAGCGTCGGCTGCTAAACTGAAACCCTAAACTAAGAGTATGGCTTAAACTAAAAATTATTTTTCTTTCAACACAAAAATCATGAAAATCCGTCAAGCGGTTGATTCAGAACCGTGAAATAAAAAACCCTGTCACGTTTTCATATATACGATCTGTTGGCCTGTTCGTTAGTGTGGTGGTGCCATCAAAATACTAGAATTTTAACTATTAAATGGGTAAAAAATGAAGATAAAATATTAATATGACTATTGCGTACTTTACAAAATATGGTAGATTACCTTACTGCATACAATATTTTCTGTGCTTGGTACGAATTAATATTGCTTAAATAACAGGCTCCATCTCCTTTTGAAAACCCATTTGGTTAATATTCTAATCGTGACGAATAATCGCCATCTTTTTAGTAAACAAAACGCAATTTATTCCAAAACTATATGCGAGCCATCCCCTAATATGCAATGTTCAGAGCTGATTTTTTAAGGTTCGCGTTGGTGATATTCATGTTCTAGTGCATTACTATCCTAGAATTTGCTATTGTTTATCACCTGTGCGTATGCTAATTATCAGTACCACCTAAGTTTTTGCGGTGCAAGTCGTTGAATATCACACTTTATTCTATAGCTAACCCTGAAATATTCCGGAGCCATCCCCTAATACGCAATGTTCACGGCTGATTTTTTAAGGTCCGCGTTGGTGATATTCATGCTCTAGTGATTTAATATCCTAGAATTTACTATTGTTTACATCATGTAAATATGCTAATTATCAGTACCACCTAAGTTTTTGCGGTGCAAGTCGTTGAATATCACACTTTATTCTATAGCTAACCCTGAAATATTCCGGAGCCATCCCCTAATACGCAATGTTCACGGCTGATTTTTTAAGGTCCGCGTTGGTGATATTCATGCTCTAGTGATTTAATATCCTAGAATTTACTATTGTTTACATCATGTAAATATGCTAATTATCAGTACCACCTAAGTTTTTGCGGTGCAAGTCGTTGAATATCACACTTTATTCTATAGCTAACCCTGAAATATTCCGGAGCCATCCCCTAATACGCAATGTTCACGGCTGATTTTTTAAGGTCCGCGTTGGTGATATTCATGCTCTAGTGATTTAATATCCTAGAATTTACTATTGTTTACATCATGTAAATATGCTAATTATCAGTACCACCTAAGTTTTTGCGGTGCAAGTCGTTGAATATCACACTTTATTCTTTAGCTAACCCTGAAATATTCCGTAGTATCCGATATTTGGAGCTATATTTTTTTTAAAGTACTTGTTCGTGTTATCTATACTCTAATAGTTAGCTATACTAGAACGTATTATTGTTCATAGCATTTGTAAAAGCCGACTATCAATACCCATTAAGCGTGTTTAATGTAAGTCTTTGAAAAACGCAATTTATTCCAAAACTATATGCGAGCCATCCCCTAATATGCAATGTTCAGAGCTGATTTTTTAGGGTTCGCGTTGGTGATATTTATGTTATAGTGCATTACTATCCAAGAATTTGCTATTATTTATCACCTGGGTGTATGCTAATTATCAGTACCACCTAAGTTTTTGCGGTGCAAGTCGTTGAATATCACCATTTATTCTATTAGTCACTCTAAACTAATCCGTTACGTACACCCGGTGTTTGGAACTGATTTTTTAAGGTTCTTGTTCGTAATATCTTCAGCTATACCACAGATTAATACATCGGAAATTTAATAAGATGGCCGTGAAAATCTGTCTTATTTTAGGTTTATTAGGAAGTTATAAAATACCCCTACACTTAAATATTATCGTTCTATTAGACATTTTCGAACTGGAAAGTCCGTGACACAATAATACAGGTCTGTTGTCGTTTGGAGAGAGTGTACCTATTGTTTGCAATAGACAGTTTTACGATCTAAACTCGTCAGATAGGATCGTCAGCTATCTTCAGGCAAGTTTCAATGGTTAGGTTATGTTATGAGTTACGTTACATAGATTTTTAAATAATAAAATTTTTATAATTTATGAGTTTCGGGATGGAAGTTTCAATAATTATTTAAGTGCTTAATGAAGTACGTTTAATGCAATTTTAATTTTTTGTTGTTTATACGTTTTTACGTTTAATTTTTTAGTTTCAATGGTTAGGTTATGATTTACATAGATTTTTAAATAATAAAATTTTTATAATTTATGAGTTTCGTGATGGAAGTTTCAATAATTATTCAAGTGCTTAATGAAGTACGTTTAAATGGACATAAATTCAGAAAGAAAGACTGCCAACAAAACTCTTCTGCCTAATAATTTGGACCTATACGCTCCTTTATATATTTTACGTTCAATCTTACACATATTCAAGTGGTACTTATAGTTTACAAAATCGTTATAAGTTATTTATTTCTTAAATTAGCTGAGCTTTGACTAAATTAGCCTATGCCATAAATATTTGACAAGACAATGATCAGGAGTGTCATCAATAAAAGAAATGTTGAAATTGGGTAAGTGAAATAGTGATATTAAAAAAATAACCAAATAGCCTAGGCCTCACGAGGTGAAATTTAACACATTCACTAACAAAATATCAGTTTAGCCTTTAACCTTTAGCCTTTACTGTAGGCTAAATTACTAGGTCGTAACAAGTTACTAGGCTCAGGCCTAACAAGAACTTATTCAAGGAAACTTTGATATCCTACCCAGGGTTGCCACCCGTCCTGATTCTATCGGGACAGTCCCGATTTTGGTTCCTAATACCTGTATTTAAGCCTAACTTATGTTAATCCAGGGAGGAGGAAGGCCATGTCCCGATTTGTCCTTAACTTAAGGTGGCAACCCTGATCCTACCCCATTGTAGCCTATCTACTGAAAGTAGGCTATAACTTAAGTTTAACTGAAAACTATTGGTATTTTAAATTGTAAGAATCTAACTTATAGGCTAAAAGCTAAGTTAGGCCTACTTTATTTTTGAGATTCAAATCTGCAACATTTTGATAGGCCTATTCGAGTCTATTGTAATTTCGGGTTGTACTTAGGCCTAAGTTAACAATAGATTTTTACATTGGTTTTGGTTCTTAGGAAAATTTGGTTATCGGTTAAAACCCTTTCAGTGCTATGCGACTATATATGGTTGTACGTCTTTTTCACAAAAAGTGTTACCGGTATAAAACGATATATCGTTGTTCGCTAAGCAACGATATATCGTGCTGGTGCGACTTACGACTGTGTAAGTTTAAATGAGCGTATCGGTTGACTCGGTTGTTGTTTCAAAATAGCGATGGTTTCTTTCGATTCCTCATACGATCGAGGCAGGATAAGATCGTTCCTTAGCACTTTTGAGATGAAAAAAATTTTTTTACCGGTACCGATTTTTTTCTCACACACTAGAATTTGCCCCCCTGGCACGCCTAACTCCTAACTTAGCTGTTTTCAAACGAAATAAGTAAATACTGTACCTAACACTCTACTGTACCTAACACTAGAATTTTTCGGAAAATTACAAAAACAAATTCTAGCATCGAAAGGGTTAAACTTAAATTGATATTTTGTGTTTGATACAATGGGGTCGAATATCAAGGTTTTGCTGTCAAATCATACCATAGATTACGCCTAAAGGCGGGGACACGCTTGTCATATACTCACTTCCGATCCTACTACGATCCGATTTGCGGGATTCCAGAGGGATCGGTGCCGGATCGGAGGGAGTGAGCACACATGTCATACACGCTTCCGACCCATCTCCAATTTCCTCCACCAGGTCGATCAACACTCGCCAGTCTGATTGTAAACTACGTGCAGCAGGTGATTTAAACACGTTCAAAAACTTCAGACTTCGGGATTCAGCCATGATGGTGGTTTGCCTAGATGAAGAGGAAGAAAGTCAGTCATCTCAGGAGGGCAGTGGAAAACGGAGAATTTGGGTCCATTCTACATGGAAGGAAAGTTAGGTGGTTTACTCAAGTGCCATCTTATATATTAAACACTTTGGTTTTTCTCTCTCGAGCTCGTTTGGCTCTTTTACCAGTCCGATTTTTATTTCGAGGTTTCAAATTGAAGGTATGCACGCACAGATTTCACATCAAACATCGGCATATATTTATCTTGAACCATTATTCTTAAACCTTAAGAATAAAGGTGATTTTAAGAAACAACCCGTCCTGCATCCGACAAACGAATAGACTGCAGTGTCGGTGCGTGATCGGAGTCAAAATCGGAGTAGGATCGGAGTATGACGTGACGCGTGTCGGAGACACCGGCGTTCAAAGCTAAGTACCATTCCTCTCTCCGACAGTTGTACCACAGTATGATCGGAGTCGGATCGGAAGTGAGTATGACAAGTGTGTCCCCGCCTTAAGCATAAGTTACTGCCTTAGATCATACACTTTCATTAGGCTAACTTAACGCTTTTTTTAACTGTAAAGGATCAGATTGGCCCTTCGTTATATCACTTAGACCACCACGGGCCAATGTGATTGGTCGAGCTATTTTGGTTGAAAAACGCCTCGAGCCGATCTGAACGACGAACAATATTTTTTCCCATAAACTCATATGGGCTTACTAAGACGTTTATAAAAATTTAAACAGTCATTCTAATCGAATCCACAGCAACTAATCCTCTAAAACATTTTTAAAGCAATGCAATCTCAAAACAAATATATGAAATCAATTTTGTGCATTATTTAATGTTTCATCAGCCAATTTTTCCAAGTTCGTTAGGCCTATAGTTTTTACTAGTAGATAAAAAGGTAGACTCATCTGCTTACAGAATTGTTTTACAATCAACAGAAGAGGGTAGGCCTAGATCATTTATATAGAATAAGAAAAGAAGAGGACCAAGGACTGAACCCTGTGGCACTCCCCACTTGACTGACACTTCATCTGACCATCTTCCATTCATACAAACTGCTTGTTTCCGATTTTGCAAGTAGCTTCTTAAAAAACGATAATGGAGGGCCATCAAATCCATAGTACCCTACTGTAATTTAGAGATGAGATTATTGCTGTCAACAGAGTCAAATGCTTTACTGAGGTCACAGAAGGTGGCCTGAGCATAAGTTTTATTTTCGAAAGAGAGATGAACTTGTCTGACTAGATCGTCCAATGCATTGAGAGTGGATTTTCCCTTTCTAAAACCGTATCGGTTGTTGTTAAAGATGTTGTTTATTTCAAAGTAATTTCTGATTTGATCATAAGTATTTCTATTAGTTTTCCCAATACAGGTATAATTAAAACTGGTCTGTAGCTCTGAGGTTGGTCCTTAGGACCTTTTCTGTAAATGGGACAGACTTGAGAGACTTTGAGTAAATCAGGAAAAACCCCTTCTGATAAAAGGTTATTTATGCATATTGCCAAGGGGTTAGCCAAACAGTCAATAATTACTTTTAACAGATTGTTTGACATATTGTACACATCCACACTAGCTGATCTTTTAATCCTTTTAGTGGCACTAACAATATCACGAGGTGTGATGGCTGACCAACAAAATTTATTACAACTATCAATTTCATATAAAAAAAAATCATTACAAGAAGTGATTGTACCTGGAATTTTAATAGGCCTACTTTGTTTGATCTTGTCTACACTGTCAACAAAAAAAGTATTTGGCTCAATTTGCAAATCAGCAGTTTTTTTTTTTAATTTCACGGTTATTCTTTATTACCTCCCATGACCTGTTATTACTTTCTTCTATGTAATTAGCATTGTTTTCTAGCATTGCTTCATTTAAACAGTTTTTATATTGACATTTCAGTTTGAAATATTTATACCTTAGGCCAGTATTGTTCACATTTCCAGTACGTTTAAGCAAACCATACAACCACAATAGCCTTTCTTTCATTCGACCCAACTCTTTAGTATACCATCCCTTGTTCAGTTTGTTCAAATACTTAGGTTTGAATACTTTCATTTGACTATTTGATAGCCTACTTTACATTTATTCGGGACCCTAAAATAATTAATATTGTTGATTAGTATATTAAATAAACATTGGAACTGTATATTAGCACTAGGTACTCTCAGACGTGGACATTAAAGATAACCAATCATAAGTACCTAGACAATTTCAGAGACAGATGTACATGACTTTTAATAGGAAGTTAAAACTGAATGGGATTTTTGAGACTAAAGGAGATGTATTATCTATAACTATTATTAGGTATTATTTTCATCCTCCTTCTGCATAGGCCTACTAACAATAATTCCATCATGGTCCGAAAAAGGAAATTTGAACAAACTTAAAAAAGAGAGCCTAGCAGATTTTTGGTTTTCAAACACATTATCTAGACAGTTTGTGCCTCTAGTTGGTGAATTATTTAAATGATATAAGCTGTACTGTTTAAATAGATTAATAAGTTTTTTACATTTCTTTTGCTTTTAGTAACATCAAAATTGTGGTTGAAATCACCACCGGTGACAATATTGTAGTTGTTCCACTGGGTTATAAAAGGCAAATGACGAATCCTTGTATCATCCTTGTATATCAGCTATATAGATCTATATAAAAACAATTTTATTGTTAGTTCCGTCCGGTAGTGGTTGTGTTTTGTTTACAATTTGTTTCTTGTTTTACAGTAATTTAAAAATGATCTATTCATAAACAAGCAGCAAGCGTCACTTTGTGACTTCAAAATCTTATATATTTGAATTCATTTACAATTTTCTATTGGCTCTGAGTTAAGTTGAAAATTATCTATCTTTTATGTGATAATCGTTAACTTATCCCTGACTTGTAATTTTTTTAAGCAAACCCTGAACACAGCTTTGTAATTTGTTTTTCCAAATAGGCCTACTAATGAAACATACTATGAAAACACAAAATCTAACGTTAGTTATTCTTTTATTTACATTTTCAACAAATACCTCTACACAATTTTACATGAATTCACTAAAACATCAATAAAACATATCCTAAGTTACTATGAAATTTGAAAATACTAAATCCTATCAAAACACAAAATCTAACGTAGCCCAAGTCATTTTCTTCCTTACATTTCATAAAAATTAAATTAAAATATTTTGTCGATTTGCTGAATACAAAAATAAATCCAACAAATTCTTTTAATAATATAGGTAACTCGTCCCCTAGTTATATAACCCTATACAGTAGTTGTATGAAAAGCATAAATCATGAAATTTCCTATAAAATAATACAAACAAAATTTTGCTGACATCAGCAATCCGTGTCACCGCATGAACTAGACTTTAAATACCCCCGCCGCAGCAAACCTGCAGACTAAGCAAATTTCAACTTGTCTGATTACATTTTTACCAAAATATTTCCATAAATAAAGATATATATTCCCAATTTAAATAACATTAGAATTAACGAGTGCTTAGGTATGCTGCTTCGGGGAAGGTAAAAAGTGTTTTTTGACCATACGTCAATAGCCTACTATAGGATAAAATAAATAAATTTGAAAATTTTATGAATATATATAAATAAACAAGTAAACTACAACAGTTTTCATTTTCTCCATAAGAATAACATGGGAATTTTAAATTAGGT